CTAATTAACATACACAAAGACAAACCTACAAACACAGTAACAAAATCCACCAAGGCCTATTTAATTTTGAGGCTTTGAGAAAGGGTGGAAAATGGTGATGAAATTAAAGACTGTTTTGGTACAAAAAAAAAAACTTGACTATAAGTGGACATCATTCAGGAATAAATGCTATAAAAGTGAAGAATCTGGCTTAATAAGAGAGAAATTAATTTGATGAAGTAAAGGTAACATTAGGTAAGGAAACTAAGTAACTGTAATTAACAGTATAGCATATATGTAGCATAACATTTATGACTTCCTGTTCTCATCTTATTAATTTTTAACAGGACAAGCACTAACAATCCTAATATTAGTATCATCTGCATTGAAATGATCGGTACACAACTTCAACATCCAAAACCAACAGTCCTTTTATTATTCTACATTTTGCTAGGTTAGCCGATTTATACCAATTTTGTCTTTACAAAATTGTCTGCCTCCATTCACTAGCAGCTCCATCAGATATAAAGAGAAGGCGGCTAGTGTAAAGCAGAGCCAAGCTTAGGGACACACCAAGCTCTTCAAATATTTACTGCACAGTCAAACACGAGCTCTACACCTCACCTTGACGTCTTCAGGGGAAATCTATAGGTAGAGGAGCTTATTCTTTCCTTGGGAACAATTTTTCTTGGTTGTCACAGACTGCAAATGCCAAAACTAACATTATTTGCCATTTGTAATATTTTATGGGCTACTTTAATCAGAGCAAATCGTGCTAACATTTTAGGAAATGGAACTTAACCATCACGATCGTGGATTAATAGGAAATTCCAGGTTCAATACAGGTTAAGCTTAATGGGCAAAGTCTATAGCATGCTGTTGATTATCATTTCTAAAAAATAATTTCTACTCATCCCTCAGTTTGAAAAACCAAACACTATGTTCGCAGTAGTACACTAATAGTGGAAGTATTGGGAGCAAGACATTCCAGAAGTTAAAAAGCAGAAATGAGCATCTTGTATTTTGGTTAAAGCATCAGCTTTTCAGAACAAAAATGTGTTTAAGGTGTACTCTGTTTGAGGCTGATGCACCTCAGGTTATGTGTTACTGATGCACATCCTGAGGGTGGAGTATACTCCAAGTAAACAGTGTTTTATGGACATATCTTTGCACATATTATGCATCATTTACAAGGTGTACCATCTTTACATGGTCATGACAGGTGCTGAAATATTGCATGTACATTTGTACAAAGTAAATAACTTTATCACACTAGTCTAATCATAACCCGTTGTGGCGGAGAGAGAGCTTGAGAGACCCTGCTGGTAAGGGAATGCTTGTTAATGAGAACTAAGGGTGTTTTCACATATAGTTCGTTTTAAAAGAACCAAACCCAGTTCACTTAAAGTGAACCAGAAAGGGAACCAGCCGAAAGTGACCTCAGTCCTTTTGGTGTTCACAATCTAGTGGACTCAAAAGAGAACCCAGTTCTTTTTTTGGTCCTCATCAGCAATGAAGAGATCTCAGACCCTTTCTGGTTCACACCACAACTTTATAAGAACTCAGACCCCAGCTTTCTTTATTCTGTGGAACACAAAAAGATAACTTTTAATTTATTTAATTTAATTTAAAATTTTAATTTATTCCTGTAATGGCACGACTGAATTTTCAGCAGGAATTTACTCCAGTCTTCAGTGTCACATGATTCTTCAGAAATCATTCTAATATACTGATGATAAGCTGAAAAATAAATCTTAGCGAGAGGAAATTCTTGAATGGTAGTGTATAGGAAAACTAATGTTACGCTGCTTTTATGGTGAGTAAGGGTGTTTTCACATATAGATCGTTTTAAAAGAACCAAACCCAGTTCACTTAAAGTGAACCAGAAAGGGAACCAGCCGAAAGTGACCTCAGTCCTTTTGGTGTTCACAATCTAGTGGACTCAAAAGAGAACCCAGTTCTTTTTTTGGTCCTCTTCAGCAATGAAGAGATCTCAGACCCTTTCTTGTTCACACCACAACTTTATAAGAACCGGGTGCTCATGGTATGGCAAACCTCCAGGTACACGTCGAAACGAAACGCAAAGCGGACCGGGATCTCATTGCTTTCGCATATCACGAAGATATCGAACCACAAACGGACCCACAAACGAACCGTACGCAGACCACCTCCGGAGGTGGTCCGAGTATGGTTCGCTTTTGTGTCCTTTTAGGGGGGTCTGAGATCACATGGTTTGTTCACATATACACGCTGAACCGCTCCGAGAGCGTTTGAAAGGGTTAAACGAACTAGGTGTGAAAACACCCTTAGACTTGAGGCTATTCTAGTGAAGTTGACAAAACACCAAACCCAGACCCCTTTAAGTGGACCGAGTGAAAAAGGACCCAGTTTTCTTTGTGTTCACACTATCTCAGTTCCTGAAAGAGGACTCAGATCCTTTTTTGGTCCACTTAAGCAGTAATGGTGTCTCAGACCTCTTTGTGTTCAGACTGTTGTTTTTTGGATCTAGTTCAGTGTTTGAAGGCTGACATTATGGCCTCCAAAACTGGAATATTTTTATCTTTTGCACAAAAATACAAGTTTCGTACACCTTTGTAATATTTATTTTTAATTGTTTTCCTTGTTTATGTCATCGTGTTTATTTTATAGCACACAGGGTTTCTTTAGGATTTTTAAGCTCAAATTTAAGACTTTTTAAGACCTGCACAGATAAAATGAATGCCATATGAGTGGGGTGGGGCAATGTCTGGAATATTTCTAAAGATAGTAAACAAAACATTTTGAAATATCCATCAGTGTCACAGTTAATGATGATAAAGTTTTGAGTAACACAATATGCACGTTACATAAACTTGCATATTACTAGACAGTAAAATTTAACATCCATAATATTGCTACAGAAAGACTCAGTCTTTTGGGGTTATTCAAAGCCTGCTGAAAGTATTTTGACTTTAGACTTTTAAGTTTGCTTTTGATGTTCGACGGATGAGGAGTGAAGAGAATAAAGTCATTCTTAGAGTGAACCATTAAACACATCTATTGGAAGTCGCTGAATGTTTACAGTTCAACAGAAGTTACTCCCATAATTCGCACAAAGCATCATGGTGTCATTTGTAGGCAAAAGGTGGATACACTGAACCCATTAGACACTTATAATCTTACACGTATAATATTTAATAACAGCAGTTATTAGGTGTTCATCGCGGCACAATGTCTTGCCCTATAGACTTCCATTGTAAGAGCATTACCGAACACGCAATTTTGATTTGTTTTACAAACTGAGACACAAGAAAATATTTTTTGGGAGAAATAAAACAGCATGTGACACAGAGCATCCAGGTGAAGTGAGAAAACAGAATTGCAAAAATAATTGATTCTGCTTTTCAGCAGAATCAACTTATGAATGGCTTATGGTTGTGTCCACATAACGAGCAGTACTGCAAGATTTGAAAAAATTACACACATCACCTTTAACTTGTCTTGAATCTGGAACATCCTGTTAAAGTGTGACCTAAATCAACCAATAACATTCTCCCTTTACTCGTTTCACCACTGTATACACGTTTTGCATAAAGAAAACCTTTACAGCTAAACAGAATTGTGATGAATAATATTTTGCAATCACTGTGAACAACAACCAAAGGTTTATGTGATGCAGTCACCTGAATATCTCTATATGACAGAAGGAGATTGATGACGACATCTGCTGAAAGACACTCCACGTTATCGAGCCGCTGCTGGATCCGTCGGAGCTCAGCCGCTAGCTCTGCTCCGGTGTAAAGCTCTCGCGCTTTACGGATCTCGTTCAGAACCGTCTCACGGAAGTACTGGCTAAACAAGCACACAAAAGACACAAAAAGAAGTTACTGAACTATGCAGAATGGAAATACAAATTGCAGAAAAGCCCATTCACAGAAGTTATCATCATACACTAAAACAAAATGTAAAACAAAAACAATTTTAGGAACAATATTTCAACAGCAACGTTGATTAGTATGGGCAGCTAGCCACTAGTACAGTATATGCTGTAATTACACTATCTGAGCCCATGAAGCATGATGGGCTATCAGTATATAATGACCCTAAATTCCAATACATAGGGGCAAAAATGTCCCTGTATGAGTTTGTCTTATATTTCTGAAGGATACAGTTAAGGAACTTTACAAGCAAGCGACCTTGTTTTTCCCTTGTTTAGTAACAGTTCAATAAACAAGAAGTTAATACTGTGAGTTACATTTTAGACACAATATTTTCAATAATGTCTCTTTTTGCCAACAAAAATAGTTCCAAACAAAGCAATCACAGAATGGTTGTGCATCTCCAAGCAAAACACAATTCCGTTCCTAAATGCATCAGCGTTTTTGAACAAATCAATGATTCAATGAGCCATTCATATGAATTGGTTAACTCGCTTAATAAGACAATCTGTGCCACCTACTGTTGGTCTAGTTTCATATTTAAAGTATCATTTCATCTTTTCGTATTTCAGTATTCAAAATATTATTAACACATTAATCTCATAGCATTATTATAAAAAAAAAAAAATTCTGCCAGTTTAAAAAAAAAAATGTTTTTCAAACAATTCCTCTAAACTGTTCAGTGTGGACTATATGTCATTACAAACATTAACAGTATACATTTCTAAGGTGAACTGAAACAATTTGAAAAATAATACTTTTTAGAGGTGGACAAAGTACACAACTCCATTACTTGAGTGAAAGTACAGATACTACTGGTCAAATATTACTCCATTACAAGTAAAAGTTGTAAAGACAGAATTTTACTTAAGTGCAGAAGTACTTGCTCCAAAAAGTACTTAAGTACCAAAAGTAAATTTCCTTTTTCATGTCAACGCACTGTTTTATTATTGCTGTATGTAATACTTGCAGTACCTCATGCCTCTGAAGCAACTTACAATACATTACGCCTACTGAATAATAATAATAATAATAAACGTTATTTTATAAAGCGCCTTTGCTGAACACAATATAATCAATACAATAAAAAAACAACACAAAATCAACAAGCAAATGCAAGATTAAAAAAATATGTCTTGAGCTTAACTTTGAAAACATCATAATTCTGAACTTCCCTAAGCTCTTTTGACTAGCTTGCAGTATTCTTTGGAATAACGAGCTTTTAGAATGTCACAAACCTATAGAGATGAAACCTATCGAAATGGAAGTGAGTGAAAATGTTAGGAGATAAAGGAGGTAGTGAGTTCCCACCAGGTGTTGGTCTTGCAGCTGGTGAGCAGTTGAGTGAGTCGGTCCAGCAGTGGCATACAGATGGGCCCCAGCAGGGCCTCAAAGCTGGGCTGCATCAGCTCACTCAAACCCTTCATCAGACTGCTCTCACAGCAATACACCTTATTCTGAGGCGTCACCATGTATGGAATGAACGTGTAGTTAGCGGTACATGTCTGGAATAGGAGGAAAACATAGAAGCAGAGCAATACTGTTAATATCCACAGTGAAAATGGACACTGATGAATAAATCAGTAGTAAGCAGGTATGCCATGCCTCAAAAAAAGGGTCAAAGGTATTTTCTTGGTTGTGGACAACAGGAGAAAATAATCTATACATTTTATTTAGTTTCATTTCGCAGTTTGCTAGGTTGTCTGGGCCTCCTGTACAGTATATTTCATTATCATTATATTTCATATCTCACAAATCTCCTAAGGTTCACTCATAAACCCCTATGGGATGATTTCGTTGGCTGAAACCTTTTTTTTTTGGCCTAATTATAAAATTCTACAACAAAACTTACTGGTCTCATACACCAAAATACATCAACAATGTCTGTCAAATTGCTCCTACAACATGATATAACCAAACAAAAATGAAGTTATCTTTTTCCACGTTTTCAAGTTTGCAATCAAACAATTAACACACATGAATAACAGCACAAACTTAAGAAAGGAGGCAAATAAATAATTTCTTCTTTCTGTTTGAAAATGACAGTAAATTAAGATGAGGCAGAGAGTAAGTGAAGATTAAGACACTTACCATATTCTTCTGACATACCACCTCCTGTATGAGAGAAACATGTGAGACACAAATGAATTCAGGTGGTATAAATGACCAGTTCTTTTTTATGACTGAAATCTATCACAAACAACATCCTGTATCCAATGTTCCCTCTAAGCTGCGCGCGCGGCCGCGCACTTCTTCCACAGCGGCCGCGCAGAAGAAATAATGTGCCGAAATAAATGAGTTGGGTAAGCCATTTGCGAAAGCGAATTAATTGCAATGCTAAATATTTAACTTACAGATCTCAGTTTAAATGCTTCAGTTTGTTTTGCTATTATATTATGTTAGGCCTATATTATAAACCTAATATATAATTGACCTTGTTGAGTCTCTTATGCTCATCAAGGATGTATTTATTTGATCGAAAATACAGAAAAAAAACAGTAATATTGTGAAACATTATTGCAATTTCAAATATTGGTTTCCTATTCTAATATACTTTAAAATATAATATATTCCCGTGAAGCAAAGCTGTATTTTCAGCATCATTACTCCAGTCTTCAGTGTCATATGATCCTTCAGAAATCACTCTAATATGCTGATTTATTGTTAGTGTTGAAACTGTTGTGCCGCTTAATATTTTGTTTTTTTTGGAACCTGTGATACTTTTTTCTTTGATTCTTTGATTAATAAAAAGTTTAAAAGAACAGCATTTATTCAAAATAGAAATCTTTTCTAAAAATATAAGTATTTACTATCACTTTTTATCCATTTAACACATTCTTGCTAAATAAAAGTATTAATTTCTTTAAAAAAAAGAAAAAAAATTACTGACCACAAACTTTTGAATAGTAGTGTATATTATAACACAACATTTCTATTTTGAATAAACACTGTTCTTTTTAACTTTTATTTTATCAAATAATCCTGAAAAAATATCACAGGTCCCAAAAAAATATTAAGCAGCACAACTGTTTCCAACATTGATAATAAATCAGCATATTAGAATGATTTCTGAAGGATCATGTGACACTGAAGACTGGAGTAATGATGCTGAAATTTGCTTTGCTTCATAGGAATAAATTATAAAGTATAATAAAATAGAAAACTTTTATTTTAAAATGGCAATAATTCACAATATTATTTTGTGAAATAATATTCAGTATTTTTCTCAAATAGATACAGCCTTGATGAGCATAAGAAACTTCTTTAATAAACATTATTGATCCCAAACTTTTGAATGGCAGTGTATTTTACTAATTCTTTAGTATGTTCTGTTTCTGTTGAGTATGCAAGGTGCAATTTGCTCAATTTGGCCTTCCATTTCCACTGACAACAATAAATCAAAAGTGATAACTATAACTTTAAATACCCTTTTCTTGTCCGATTATGTTATTGAACTGTTAAAAGTCATTTTTGATTTGAAAATATTTTCTCCTATTCCAGAAAAACTAAAAGTTAGCCACTGCTTGGTTGACATCCTTAAGAGTGTAAACACTCTTATGAATGCTCGTTCTGCATTTCCGTTTGTAGCTGCTTTTTTTTATTTAAGATAAAGTGGATATGCTGAATTAAACATGCACTGTAATAACATCACACTATTACAACAATGTAGCATGCTACTGGTAAAAACATTTATCTATGCATATTGTAGAGTGTTTTCTGAAACTGTGCAATTCTGTGTGCGTGTGTTAGCCAAGCACCATCCTCCACTAAATTCTGCCTAGTAATAAAACCTCTGCCTTAAAGAGCTAGATATATCTCATATTATGCAATTTACTCCCCACTCACCTGGCATAATTCCATTTAGTAATGTAAAGTAATAATAGAGGTGTGTGACCTTGCCAGGAGGATCTCCATGACAATAATGCCTGCATACAATTAACTGTTGTAATAAAAACCTACAGTTGATCATTGTGATGAAACTGTTGGATGTCTAAGCGATCCACTGCAAATAATGTGGGTTGTATTAATAATTTGTGTCCATCCAATAAATGTGCAAGCACCCTTTTGCTCACAACACCGAGCGTTTCTCGTACTAGCCCAATACACATTTGAATTAGAATGTGTGTAAATCTATAATACTATAAATGTAGCCTATGTGCAACACACCATGATGCAGTTGCTTACTTTGATTTTGCCAAGCAAGACATGGATCTTTATCAACTAATCAGATTTTAGGGTTAGATTTTAGGGCACTCAATCAGTTCCTGGCTCTTATTCAGTCCAAATGTTTTTGGACTTGGCACCATTTATCGGCCTGGATGCATGAAGTTTGTTTATAATGGCTGTCACCTCACACCAAAGCTATTTGTTTATCTACACATACTACACATATCCACATAATGGACATTCTTGGATCAATATCAACAAAGTGTTGTGTTGTTGGTTGCTCTTGCTGTTATATGCTATATGTAGAATAAAGCAGCGTTTTCTATAAGACTGATATGTGTAGAGTCTCACACTCAGGTGCTACAAAATTTGACTTGCATTATTTCTCCTCAACAATATTTTACAAAAGTGCTTTCCATTACTTGAAGCATAGGAAGTGTTGGGGATGAGATTAGTGTATTTGTACTTTTGGAATGTTGTTTCTGATCCAGGAAAATGTCCTACTTGGCCAAACCTTGGTCACCTGATGCAGCAATACACTACCAGTCAAAGGTTTGGACACACTTAACACAACTTATATTTTTCATTATATTAGTAACCTTTTGATAGAAAAGGCATTTAAAGGTTTACATTTAGTTTTGTAGGCAAATATAAATAATGTCTACATATGACTTTGCAAAACTACATATTACGTATATTTTTTAAATTCAAAAATGTTGTTTAAAAATGCTGATAGTAAGGGAACGCATCAACAGGTGTTGAGCATACATTTGAACGGTTTATTCCAGAACGCAGCTCATGAAGAGAATGTCAAGAGTAAGCAGATCTGGAATCTAAAGACTGGATTTAAACAATATTTGGAGATCATTAGGGCTGGGCGATGAACAATATCATATTGAGATTGCGATAAAATTTATATGGACAAAGATGATAAGCTCTGGACATTTTTAATCAATATGGATTAATCTAACAGCCTATCACACAGCAGGAATAAACATGACAACAACCATTCAGTGCATGTGGCTAGTAAGTCTGCATGTCTTTGTGTGAATGAGTAAAGGCAGTTTTGTCTACAACACAACCTCAAACACGTGACGCTCACAATGTTTTTAACGTCTATGCCTCAATATATGAATAGATGATCACATGAACTTCAACTCCAGAGCTGCCACTTTACCAGCTTTTCACCGTTTCATTCGAGAAAAACTATGGTCATTCGCACACAGAAACTCTGTAGGCCTTCCCTACAGCCAAAAGTTTGGATTAACTTGAAGAAATTATGACACATCGAATACATTACTACTGTGTACTAAAATGTACTTCTCACAGTGATAATAATAATAATAAGTTTTGTTGTAAATTATTATATTTTCATTTAATTACATTTTAAAAGATTGATCAAACTGTTAAAACTTTATTAATTCGTTTCATTAGACACCATACTTGATGATACATTTGTATTCAATCATAAAATTAAGAAATAGAATGGAAAAAAACTAAATGGATTTCAGCGGGCCCTAAATGAAAAGGTTTCTTATTCTGTGGAGTTTAACAAGTTCTGTTTACATTCATTCTCAAGGTCTTTGCGGAAAGCTAAAGGAAATGTGAAAGCATATCCTTCCCCCATCAAAGGCAAATGAATGTAGTGCTAAATAATGATATTGTATCACATGGGAAAAATATATTGTGATATATTTTGGCCATATTTTGGTCTCTAAGTTTCAGAATGGAAGATTATGAAGTAAGATGCTGAAAAAAATCAATTTTATTTTAAATTTGACTCTGGACTCTGGTGACACTGAGACAAAAGACTTCCTGACCTGAAGAGAGTGCAGCGAGTCGGAGTTGAGATCACAGTAAAGAATGATGTTGTTGACCATGCTGAAACTCTCTCGCACACCCAAGTGATAGAAGAGAGAAGGCTGTCGAAATGCATCCGTCATTTCAACCACTGCAATATCTGTGAACAGAGACAGAGAGTGTTCACTTTTTTTTTTTAAACCCAGACCTGATAGACTAACAGACAGACACGGACAGTTTGCTGAATGTTTGTGTGTGGGGGTTATTTTCTATCGGGCCCGTCCCTATAGTTGAGTTCAACACCCTTAACACCGCATTTAAATATCAGCAGGAAGTCAGTTCCTCTGTTTGCATGCATCTGTGCCAGAGCTGTTGTTTCAGTTAACCCAAAGGAAACAGACATGACAGAGAAAACGAACACAGCAACATACATTCCTAAGCAGAAGGACATGTAGAGTGTATGAACATCCCGAGTTTTTGTGTCTTCTTGTTCAAATAAATCTTAACAGTGAAAGATGTTGGATCTTGGAGTTTGGATTTGTTGGAACTTCTTCATTCTTCATGCTTTATAGTTATATCACAAATATATGTGAAAATCGATTTGCATATACAAATTTGAGTCTACCGGGGAAACAAAATTATCTTTAAAAGGTATCTTAACCTGCTCTTTGATCAAAACAGTAAAGGGACAGTGCGATGTATCCAGGTTAGGGCTTATACTAGCAAAACTTGAGGGTACATATCATACATATTTAAATATTATTATCCTTTCTTCGTCCTCCTGTGCACAAATTCGCTGGATTCCACGTCACATCGTCTTATAAATGAACACATAAACACTGACTTCAGTGGCCTCCATGTTTACCGCCATATGACAGTGAGACGTTTTTGTTATTGTTTTTGCATATGCGAGTCAGTTCAGGACCGTGATCAGTTCACACTTGAATCTGATATTGGCCACATTTTAAAAAATAATGTTAATGGTGTGGAGGGAAAAACTGATCCAAGCAATAAATCAGAATTGAGAAGCGTAAACATTGCTTTAGTAGCAAGTGTCTAGTTAAAGTAGCTACATATCCACAAGCAGAACTGTATGTTGCCTCTCAACAATATATGTGTAATACTTTTGGACAGTCAGAAATTCTCAAAAAGACACTATAAGATATGTAAACTGTAAAATATGTCCATAACCAAGCGATAACCAAGTGGACAATTTGTCAGAGTTGTACCACTGGAAGTAGTGGTTGACCAATATGGGTTTTTCAGTGGCCAATGCAAATATTGACATTTAGAATGCAGGGAGGTCTAAGGGTGATACAATGACTCATTACAAATGAATGCAAAATTATTGTACACAGCATTTACTAAAATACTTGAATATAAAAAAAATAGAACTGTTTACAAACCATTGACAAAGCTGGCAGGAGATTTTGAAATGAACAAAGTGGACCGGCAGACACTTGTGTTAATCGATGTGGTGGTTATCAGACAATGCTAATCATCTCAAGATGGATACCAGTGGATATCAGTAGATCATCATGAATTATTTTTCTCAAGTTACACAATTTTTCAGTGCTGCATTTCAATAATAAGGTGATGTGTACAATAGAGCTTATAGTCAACTAATGTAAAGCTAATGATTCATGTTTCAAGGGATGATCAATGCAAATTAGTTCATTTGTTAAATACAACATCTAAAATAACAAACAGGTTGTGTAAAAGTGTATTAAAAAAAGTTTATGATGCTGCCTTAAAGATCAATGATTTATGATTATGAAAAAAGTTTAAAAATGTATTAAATTATACGCAGCCACTGGATTTTGTCAGATCATTAGTTGTATATTTCTCCGGTTTTGTCTTCTTCCATATTTTGTATCCAATTTAAAAAAAAAAAAATTCATCCAAAAAAAAAAAAAAAAACCCACGTCATCCCCAACCTGTATGACTTTCTTCCATGCCACACAAAATAGGTACGACAGCATTAGTTCATCATCCATTTGCAAATTATGGAAAACAGGTGAAATGAATGTGAAAGGTTTTCGAGGTTGTCTTTCACTAACAATCTGCTGACCTGAACATCGGCCTTTTATGTTCCATGGAAAAAGAAAGTCATACAGGTTTGGAACCTGTTAATATGACAGCGATGATAATTTCCAGCTGTGAATACAAGATCTAGCATTCCAATTCGCAAAAGGAATTCTGAATCAGATTTCACACATGCAAATGTAGTTTTGAATTCTCCCACATAAATCTGTTACAGTTCTGTGCACGTACAGCTGCTGCAAGGACATGACTTTGTTCAAAGTGCACAAATGACATAAATGGGAAATGTCATGTGAGGTACGGTTGAGCTAGTATGGTTAACTAGTCATCCAACAAATGACTTGTTGATTAGTGAATTCAATATTTAACTGGTTTTAATCTTACAATTCTCAAACAACTGAGATACACAACTTTAGTGCATATGTGATTTTGTGCCACTGTGTGTTGGACCCTTTCTAATAAGCACAGATCGTTTTGGCAGTCCGTTTATTATTTGAATAGGCCTATCTGTTAGTTACCCTCTAGAAGGATTTAGTATGAATTTATTCCTAAGAAATGTGTCTGACTGGAGTCTACTGGACAAGCCACAGCCTTATTATTCAGGGGTTTCTTAAGACTGACTTGTCGAGTATGAACATTTGTAGCTTTGCAACATTCCTATAATTACAGGAAGCTGAAAAAAATGAAAGCTTGATTTAAATGCAAGCAAGATTTAGGTGGTTAACAGACGCATATAGCAACAACAATGATCCTCTGATAATGTTGCTACATAACTAACTAACATATACCCAAAATACAAGGACAACAAGCAATGGGTAATTATTAGCAAGAAAGAATTCAAGATTTTTAATTAACTGAAATCAATGTGAAACTTAAATGTACATGACTGTTAAAGAGGTACACAAAAGCCTTGAATGAGTCTTAGCGGAGTTTCAGTGTTAGGTTTTGAGTGTTAGTTTGTTTAAACAAAGAGGATCGATGTTGCTCCCAGACAGGCAGAAATCCATCATGCTGACAAGCCAGATTGTATTGGCCAAACTGGGCTTCACAATATGATTACTAAATGCAATAGGGTATCTAAAGTTACAAAGTTTTGAGCAGAAATGATGCTGTGAGGGATGCAAGTGTGGACCATTCAATATCTTGAACTGTACTGAAAGCTGGAATAGGGCTAAACAATTAATCAAAATTGGCTTAATGATTTGATTTGGCTTAATGCGATTACTGAAAGTGCTGTGAGTTTGAGTCTCTTATAACGTGTATTAGAAAAAGCAACGCACCAAACATCTTCCCAATCTTGTAATGAGAAGCATTTATAAACCTGTTATCCAACAAAACAGAACATTTAATAACATGATTTTATTCCACAACAAAATTGAGTGCCGATTTCCCAAACTATTACTTCAGTTCTCAAAACAAAGACAAAACATTTTCTTCTTGATTATTGGAATGCCCATGTTGGCCTACAGGGTCATCTATATGGTTTTTATATTACTTACACATACAGTATAATTACAGTACATAGTAGCAATACTTTAGATGGAAGAACTTTTACTATTCTATACTGTGGCATGTTGTACACCCTCAAACTCGTAACTGTTGAATTGATTTGTAGCCAAGTACTTCTTACATGTACTGTATTTTTGAAGAACTGAGAGACAACTACATAGGAGAAGTAGAGAAAATCTTGTGTCAGAAGACTAAGAAACTGCTATAGTATGGCAAATAAGGTCATTACCAATACTGTAATGCAATTTATTTTTACTGTAATGTAACTTACAGTATACGGTCTTGTTGCATACCAAGTTCATATTCAATTATTTGGTATTTGAACTTTTCTAGTGCTTTTCATATACTGTAAGATCACTTTACAGTAGTGTAATGAAAATAAACTTTTCTTAATGCTTATTGGTAAATTTCACTGTATCGGCACCCCTCTGTTTATGTTGCAAACTGTAATAGACACTGACTTGCAAAATGATTCCTGTTTCCCAATAGGAGGTTTTTGTGCTTTGAATTGATCTCACTAGTGTTCTCTAAGCAGTGAAGTAGTCTGTATATTTGTCAGGTTTGTGTGTCATCTGAGGCCAAAGTTTGATTCTAGAAAAAAGAGAATATGCTTTTGACTAAAATATTTGAATTTGACTTGGATTTTAAAAAATCTAGATTCTAGAAAAAAGAGAATATGCTTTTGACTAAAATATTTGAATTTGACTTGGATTTTAAAAAATCCGAACAGTTGATGGACACCATTGACTTCCATAGTATTTGTTTTTCCTACTATGGAAGTCAATGGTGCCCATCAACTCTTCGTATACTAACATTTTTCAAAATATCTTCTTTTGTGTTCAACAGAAGAAAGAAACTCATACAGATTTGGAACAAGTGGAGGGTGAGTAAATGATGACAGAATTTTCATTCTGGAAGTGAACTAATCCTTTAAGGATTGCAATTGCCAGAATAATACAGTAGCTTAACAATATTTCTGAACAAACTGTCTCCCCTCACTATGTTACAAGTTCAAGAGAAGTCATTAAGGGGATTCTCCAGCTAGGCCTGTCGCAATAATCAATATATCGACTAATCACGCCATATACAGTGGGTACGGAAAGTATTCAGACCCCCTTAAATTTTTCACTCTTTATGATGTAATTTGTGTTGGCAAACAGAAAGTATTCATAAATATTGCTGGAAGACATTTGGGGCCATGCACAACAGAAACAAAGTGACAAGCTATGCAAGCATGGCAGAAAGCATCAGAACAGTAGAATGAAATGCTTATTTTTCAACATCTGCTTCCACCGTCATTTTTCAGTAATATTATTAAAACTAAGTTAATGATACAGAATAATACTAAAAACATTGATATAGTTCATTAAGGATTAATATAAATGCGTAAAATATGTACAGTATATGTATAAATGTATTCATATAAATAAAAAAAATGAAAGAAAAAAAGATAGTAAGAAACTATCGAAACTATTGTTATAGTATGAGATTTGCTTTTAGTAATTGACCAAGTACCAAGCAATTTAAAGTACACTACAACTCTTTCATTTTCGATCATTATGCTTCCTATAAAATGCTGTTAAATGAATGTAGTTCAAAACAAAATTT